CAGGTATGTTTATCCATTTTAACTTCTAAAACTTTTTACGTTAACAATGTGATATTCATTGTGTTGCAGCTAACTTAAAAGCTACTTATTTGCAGTCAATGAATACTTGTGATTTATATTATTTTGTCAACACATGAATTAGACTTACTCTTATTCTCTGTCCATGTTTTCACAGGTGATTGAGTCCATATTTAAATTAGATGGTGAAATGAACGTCCTTGTCGCGGATTCAATGCACGATGCCTTGGTCGAAAGGTGAATAATCTTTTACAAATTTTTTACCAATCACTATACGAAAGAGCTATTTGTTAGAAATGTAAAATTTCTGAAGCAATACTGTTGAGAACTTTTACAGTCACAATTAAGTCTCTTGTGATGTTATAATTTAGCGGTCAAATGAGTATCACTGTGAAATATTTACTGGTCAGGATGGTGAAATACATTGGGTATTTTATTACCCACCGATATTGTGTATTGATCCTTTTGATTGTTTGAAAATCTACTTTTGCATGTCATTACCCCATATCTTGCAGTATCTCATCAACTTGTTGGTTCTCAGTCTCGAGTTTTAGACATTTGTGCCTAAACACAGATTAACGTTTTCTTTAGTGATCATAGTTGCCTTTGTTTAATGAACATTAGAAGGTTACTGTTTGAATCATGCATATGCGTATAGCTAACATGGAAATTGTGGACTATGATAACGTTTATTTGGTTTGAAATTCGGTTGTTTTGTGGGGTAAACTGTTTTCAAGTAAAGAAGAGTTTTCGGGATAATAGGGAAGTCGAATACAGTATAAAGGATACCTATAATTATATGACTTCTACTACTTTTCGGTCACAGTCTACATTAAAGTCAATAATGTAAACGAAGCTTGTGTTTTATCTCGTTAAATTCAAATTCGGGATACGTCTTTTTTGACTGAAAATGGTATTATCATTAACCCCTACACGAATAGTTTACTTAAAAGTTAATTAGACATGCTTTAGGTAAGTGATGTAGATTATTCAAGTGTAACCAGTTAACACTAACATTGCTTTTTGTTTGAATTATAAAAGGTGATTGCATCATAAAGCTTCTACGTTGTGTTTTTCTTATATTAATTCACTATTAATTAGGAAAATAAATGTGTAAATTATGGTCAGTTTTTGATTAGCACCAGTTAATTTCTTACACTGTTTTTTTTCCGCGTCATATCATTTTGATGTATTGTATAGTCTTTATCAGTCTTGAGTGCAGTTCGTTCTGTTTTACTTTACGGCTGCAAAACGTGGCCATTAAGATTAGAAGATACTCGTCAGGTACTAGAATTTGACCACAGATGCCTTAGAAATATTGCTCGCATCTGCAGGGATCACTAGGTACGTAATAGTGAGGTTAGACCCAGGGTATTAGGGAATGATGGCAAATCAGTTGGTGAGGTTGTAAATCTTCATTGACTGAGATGGTTGGGCCACGTGTTGCATATGTCTGAACACCGATTACCACGACGCGCAATGCTGACTGGTGTTGGAGATCGTTGGAAGTTAGGGGCGGCCAAACCAAAACGTGGCATCAGTGCTTGAAGTCACTAACTTCTAGTCTTCTTCTTTTTATTATTATTATTATTATTATTATTATTATTATTATTATTATTATTATTATTATTATTATTATTATTATTATTATTATAAGCTTTATTCAACATTATATTTTTGGTACAACATAGAATTCTCAGCATAAATTCTTTCAACAAGTTTCCTTTTCTTATATCTTGATCGATTGTGACGATAAATTTTGAATGATGACCAGTTAGATGTTAGGAGTTCGGTAATCCACATTTGATTAATATTCATTCGTTTCAATGCATATTGCCGGCCACCGTGATGTCGCCGATTGTACCTTTTTTGTATCCCGTATAGCGAAAGGTTGTAAACTTTTCATAAACGCGCCTGAATAGATTGTGTTCACAATAGACGTAATGATGTGCTAAAACAAACAACAAAACAGATAACTTGATGAAATATGTAGATCGGAGGAACAGGTAGCCCAGATATTCAAGCAGGCCGCCGTGAAGTTGGTAAATGCAGACTACTTGGTTGTGGTCCCTGTGACTATCATAACCAATGGTTGGAGACTTTATCGAATAAATTAAACATGCAATTGAACAGGAAAAGAATACTCAATGCGCTTATCCAGCTCCTGTATTGTAATTGTGCACAGGCAGAAATAGTGGTCGATTTTACGTATTAGCATTTCGTTTATTTGTGTGCATTAGTGTATATTTATATTATTGTTTTTGTTAACGTTTGTTTCTTTTCAGCCTTAGCTGATGCACCTGTTGGATTTTATACAGATGCCTCATTTATTGTGAACAATATTATCCTGTTGCGTATCGCTTCATTCGTGTACATTTATTTCCGAACTTCAAAAATTGGTAACTTTTCATCCCAAAATATGTAAAATGAGCATATACTCTTTGTATAATCAATTTTACACAATTAGATTGATATGATTTCACTTTATTTGCGTGTATTCTGTTGCAATTTTCCGTCTTTTGAAAAAAGTGACTTTCAAAACAAATAGTTATCGTTCTTTTAATCAAATTAGAAAAGGTGATTTATCAAAGAACAATTGGGGAGTCAAGACTTGCTTAGGATTAAAGGGAAGAAATATCTCTTGCAGTTATATATATATATATATATATATATATATATATATATATATATATATATAGAGAGAGAGAGAGAGAGAGAGAGAGATTACGCAATATCCAGTAAGAGAACTGACAAATATTTGACAACGTTATTTGAGAAAAGGGACGTCAAGTATACACAATCCATACGGCCAAATTAGTGGAATCTGTTGGATAATTTGGAAGGCGTTCAAGTCCACCTGATGTCTCGTATTCAATGGGTGGGCAAGTACAAAACTTCTAGTTAAGTTTAACTGTTCTTTAATCAGATGGTATAGTGTTAGAATATTCAGTGATGAGCCTGCCATAAAGTTCATTCTGTCCTACTTTATGGCTGTGAAACATGGCCTGTAAGAGTAGAGGATATTCTTAGGTTACTAGTATTCGATCATAGGTGTCTTCGAAACATTGCTCGTATATCCTGGGACCATCGAGTAAGTAACTCAGTTGTTAGGAAACGAGTACTAGGTAAGGATGGCAAATCGATTGATGAAGTGGTGAAACTTCATCAGTTGAGATGGCTGGGGCACGTGTTACGTATGCCCAACTACCGACACGCGATGTTTCATGGTGTAGGAATAGGTTGGAAGAAAGCTAGAGGTGGCCAGACTAAAACATGGCACGAATCCATGGAGTCACTGACAAGTGGACTGAGCTATGTTGTTAGATTTAGGCTACCTGGTTGGGATCTGTGAGACGTTAGCAACTTATGGTTAGGGACCTTGAATGAAATGGCTCAAGATCGTTTGCAATGGCGCAGGTGCATCCACTCTTTGTGTTCTCCCAAATTTTAATCTACTGACCCCTACTTGTCTCTTTTTTCTCTTCCCAAATTTATCTCACTGGATTATACTCATTGAATAATATCTCCAAACCCTAATCTTCCCGATTACTGCTTATAATCTTACTACTTCTACCACTGGGATTTGAATCGACAATTATATCTCTTTGCTAGTGTGGTATTGCAACTCGAACTGGTGTATGTACGTACGAAGTTTTACGTTATCGACTGACTGAATGTCTAATTGCCATTTCCTGATTACTTCACCCTCTGTATGTATTTAAATGTGAAGCAGATGGCGTGTAATTCACAGTTTAGCTATCCAATTGGTTTTTCCCATGCGTAGATCACCATGTGATGGACGGATATGTGGTGCTTCGTAAATTCATCGTGCGTGAGATTCTATTCTATTGCAGGTATCCCTTATCCCTGTCTGCATGCTGACTTTCAGTACTAGTCCAAAGATTATTTAGTTATTCATCTGAACTAAAAGGTTATTAAACTACTGTGCTTTCATGAGAATGTCTTTCACTCAGTAATGTCTCTTTATGCTGAAAGTTTATTGTGCTGTTTGAGCTAGGTTCATATGTACAATGTACTCTATCTAGAGGCTGTTCAGATCCCAATTTAATTTCGAGGAGAAAGTACTCATCTTGTAATTTTCCATATATCGAAATGGTACTCTTGTCTTAGACGACTCGTAAGTTTTGATTTAAATAAACAGTTAAATGACGAGTTTCGAAAGAATTCACTGAGAATCGTGGATAAATGCTTGTTAGTTTATAACCGTACCCAGCAAAACACTTGTTAACATTAACATTCACTCTAGCTTTTAAATTTAGCATGTTTTCAGACTAGTAATAGAGAGAAATTTGTGTTTGACATGTGATAGAGATTAGTTTTGATTAGAGTATTCGGGAAATTTCGTCTAACAGTATTCTTACTACTTATCTAATGTAAATCGATTATCCTTACGGTTGTGGAGTGAAGCTTGTGTGAGTTTAAGCATAGTTATATCTAAATTTTTCAAAACGAAAGGATTTGACTGACAAAATCTCATGTAACAACTAGGTTCTCATTCCTAACATTTGTTCATCTGCAATCATACAGCAAATATTTCACTAGACAAACATTTAATCAGAATGGTGGTTATCATTGACAGCAGCATCTACTAAACATCTGTAGAGTTCTTTGATTAGAACAGCAAATAAATCGTTTTAAGTCAAATCTACACTGCGAGTTAGTGTACCTAGCAATCACTTCAGCTGAATTGTTCACCAGCTTTAACAGCATATCTTATTCAGTGTTTAATGAATGTTTATAGTTGTTATGATAGGAATGAATGCATTCATAAAATTTTGCGCTAAAAATGAGTACTCATTCAATGATATTTTATCAATCGAGAATTTCGCATATTCAAAAGCATGAGCAACTGATGTTCACTAACACACTACCGATTGAGTTGAAATTCGAAGTATACCTGTCATTGCTTTACAGTAATCAATGTAGGAAATTATTGACAGACAAATAGAAAAAGACATAATAAAACAAGTAATTTTCTCAATAATTTAGAACATTGATTTGCATATAGTAGAAAACTTTCTAACGATTATGAGATACCACAAGGAATTTGCTAAACTTTAAATAGATATACTTGATTATATTTTTGTGCTAATTTTTCTAAAAAAAGAATTCTACTCTGTTTAAAGTTCATTGTAAATTGGTAAATATTTATATTTAACGTATGCGCCACATGAAGAGCGTATACTTCAAAATTTGAATAACAATTTATAGTGTTAACAAACTGAGTAATACATTGAAACTATGAATAGCAGAAAAATGAATACAATAAAAAGGATAGAAACCATATTGTAATAAAACAAAATGAATTTACTTTACTGACAAAAGAGTACACTGATGTCACGTATGTGTGAATAAATGACAGAAGTAGTAGAAGGAAAATAAGAAAAGAAATTATGTATACACACATACATATATTCTTAATTATAAAATTAAGGATAACAATTTACTAAACTGTTAACTCTTCAAATATCCTACAGGTTTATATTAGTGAACTAAACAAGCGAACAAATATATATAGTACTAAATTCTATGCATATTGTAGTGTTACGAAATAATACAAACGTTCATTATGAAGAATATTATTACAGAAGACAACAAAATTGTAGTTTATATTTAACTGATTGAAACTGTGCACGACTAAAATAGAAGAAATGTGAGGTAGAATTATCAAGAATCATTGGTATTAGATGTGAAGAGTTCTGTCCCCACCATAGGTTGTAATTACGATACACGTTAGTTGTTTTTTCTTTTGTTACAAGATAATACAATGAATCTACAGAAGACGTTGAATAATTTTTGTAAAAAATCGACTAAATAGATCAAAAGAGGAAGAAAAGGCGCGATCGAGGAAATATGAAAGATAAGCCATGAAAAATAAATTTAAGGAAACACAGCTGCCACCTTTAATCTCTCAACGTGTGATTTCTCTTGCAAAATAGCTATTAAACCGATTCCGTAACGATTAGTTGGTGTTTTCAAGAGAGCGGGTATACAAAATGAAAGATGGGAACCGAATAGATTATTTGAAGAAAATGATAGAACACAAAAGAAACAGTTGGTTGTTTCAATTTCATCTATTGTAGAATCTAAGCACAATGAAACGGTTCACAAAGATAAACAGGTCAAACGGAGAATTAGAAGTAACGTTGAATTAGTTGCTACTATTATTATTATCATTATTTAGGATGAAAGGTAACAAGGATTAATCTTTAAGTTTCCACTTTATTAGTATTACACTTGAATTATGAACAATAATAAGTTTCAGCAGTATGAAAGTGTGATTAGATTCAGCATGAAAACGTAAACATCTCACGAGAATACAATTACAGTATCTATTTGAATGCAGGAGAAGAATGATTAGAAAATTAAAGATGAATAATTATTTATGTAACTAAAATTAAACTGAGTAATAGGGCTAATCAAAATAAACATTGAACAATGTAACAAATTATGACAGATTTAAAAGGAACAGCAGTTTATGAATTTTAAAGATAAAATTAGTGAGAATAAACAGAATGATTTAATTGTGAGCAAAACAGAGACTTGACACGTTTTACAACTAGATTATGTTTTTTGTTTCATGAAAATGTACCTTATATCATTAACATGAGGATAATCAGCATACATACACACAGAAAATTCAGTATTATTATTATTTATTCAGAAAATGCAGTGATTACTTCACGTCCTGTTCCACGTACCAATAATATACGTGGTAAGCCATCTGTCAATGTTTCAATATAATCCATATAATAATATTCACTTCCTAGAGTACGTGATGGTCCAGGCATATTCACAATGACTAAGTCTGATTCACTTGAGTGAGTGCGTAATAATTCATTTAAACGTACAGCACAGTGTAAGCGACGTTGAGTTCTAGTTCTGGGATAAAGAAAGATCATAAAGAGTATAAATTTAGGATAAATAGTTTACAATAAATAAGCGGAATTTATTTATTCAAACAAGGTCGAAGGAAAACGAATGTTGATGTATAAAATTTTACAGTATTACAAATATATTGTAAAAATGTATTGATTTATGTGTAAGTTGATAACATTATAAGAAATCCGTTTGTGAAGAATAGGGGACCCAAAAATTTACTCAACAGTTCCAAATGGAAAACGAAACTGTACAAAATAGAAGAGGCGAATAATGACTATTTAATAAAATAATTTCCCTATATGGGAAAAGATAGCGACGTTCAGTTGTAAGATTATCGTTTAAAGTCGTATTTCGCAGTTTTTAATAATCAACACTAGTTGGGAATAGGCATTGGGTCCTTATCCATTTCTATTAATTCAGTTAGTTGGTAAAGTATTTTCAGTGTTGAAATTCTAGAAAGTATGGGTGGTTTGATAATATTGTGTTCTTTGAATTAGACAGTTCAATTGTAAAGGGTTCATTGTCATTTTTGAGTAATATCGGCAGCATCTTCCTCATGTAAATTTTCAATTAAACTATTTAACCCAGTAAACACAACACTAATGATACTTCGAATGCAGTGAAAAAACCTGATCAGTTTGTACATACACACTGATGCTGCGTTGATAAATTGCTGAAGTAATTGTTGGGATATTCAGGGAAATATCCCAGAAATTATCCTATTAAGTCTAATGCTATTCTTGGACTTGGAGATGGTATTATTTACTTATTGGTCATAACTTATTTCACGTGTCATTTTCCTACTGGTCAACATTGTACAGTTTTATTTTCTATTTTATGGTACGTTGTGGTCTGCTTGACTGGTATATAAACAAAGTATGTTTGAAATATAATGATTCATATATCCGAGGCTGAAACTTGCGTTCTGGACTCCACTGCTGGGCTAGATAGGGAGGCGGGACCAATCAGAACCCTAGGTCTTTCTACGTGTTTGTGCGTCTTTGGTCCGATCGATAATTCGCTACCCTCAAATCTGCCGTCACAGTTATAGCAGTAATGGTAGTTAAATGTCGGTAATTTATAACTAACAGTAAATGGAAATATACAAATCATTTTACATTGTGAATAACTCTAGAATTCTTGTTGTTCTTCCGTAACTATTTTTAACTATTCTGCGTATTACATAATCCGAAGCTTACAATCGTTTGTAATGTGTAGCAACAACTTTATATTTACGAAAACAGAAGATTTTTAAAAAAATGTTATACAGATAGTTTTCCTACATATGTATATAAATAAAACTAACAGAACTGAACCTTTTTGTCAGTACTAACAATCATTACGATCAATAGTCCATATATTGGTAATTTTAACGATTTTAATGTTTGTTGATTCAGCGAAATCGTACTTTTTTTGTTGTTGAAAAATTGAAATCTCTTTGAAATAGATGGGAATTCGTCTCAATAAACTATGGATCATATAATATAAAACAATTGAATATCATTGTGAATTTTAGGTAACAATGCCAAGGTTGGACTTGATAATTTCAAATAAATTGAGCATTGAGCAGAAAGTTAATAATAAATAAATTCAGAATAAATAAATAGGAAAAGAAGGAGTGGCTTATATTAAGTCACGAAACGTCAAAAATATAATTTTTCTACTCATTTGGATATAACAAAAATCTATTTATTATTGTGAATTTTAGTTAATAAAAAAGAACTTTATCAAGATGGTTAATACAACATGATTTGCATAATAATGTTAAAAAAATACCTACATTTTTCCTGGATGCGCTTTATTCAATAAATGCTCTTCTTTAGAACCTGCTTCTTTTGCAGCTTTTTGAACTAGCTTAGTCAATGGATTTGAAGGTGAAAAGGTAAATTCATTAATACCACGATTTATTTCTGAGTTTGTATCATTTTCTTTGGGATTAGTAGATTTGTCAGATTCACTAATTGCAACATTTGAACCAGTTGCAAATGATACAGTACAATGATGTGAATGATTTGAAATAGATTTATTATTCGATTCAGTATCTGGTTTCATATTTGATGATTTCGTATCTTCTTTGGAAGCAGAATCGTTACTACTGGTATTTGTTACATTCTAAAATACGTTAGTTGTAAAATAATTAATTGTAATAATAATCGTGATAATAAAAAACAACAACATTTATCACTTAATATTATATACTAGAAAATTTATCCAGAGAAATTCATGTTCATCTTTTAAACACTGTAGAAGTGAGCGAGTACAAAACATCTAAAGATAAATTCATAGTAATTTGGTCTAGTTTTCGTCAATTTTCAAATTATTTTAGTTCTTTTTTTATCGGTGAACTAACTAAAATCTTGTTTATTATTGTTGTCATTATTATTATTACTATTATTACTGTTATTTATTATCACTACAGTTCCATTACACTAATACTAACCTAATTTTCATCAATATGACAAATATTCTATTCTATTTGAAGTATTAGTGGAATATGAGAAAAAACATTTATTTATTTAGTTAGATTTGATTTGGTTTCTTTAAATAATCCAATCTTTCAAGTACTGGATTTCTTAACAATAATTTTCTATTTATAAGTCTTCTGGTGAACTTTTGATGTTCAGAATACAATTTTTCATCAAACAGTAAGGTTAACAAAATGTGGAGTTACCCGAATGTACGGGAGCTCAGAATGTATAATGTGAGTTTGTTATATCCTATGACCCGTTAAATACCACGTGACAAAACAGCCAATAAGAACACTGACTTATATGACCTTATCTGTGTGCTAAGCCAATGACGAGTCAATCAGCACAAGCAGCATAAATTCAGCTCTGAATCCTTATTAATCCTCTGTATAGCAACTTTTCGCCTAGCCCAACCCCTTCAGTTCAGTACACAGTATCAGCTTCCACTGTGTGAATCGTATATTACAGATATACGCAGTTTATTATATATAAGCAGAACAGACAGCATCACACCATAAAATGCAAAATAATAATTATACAAGATTGAGACAGAAGTGGATCTGGGTATGAGATATTGTAACTAATAAAGTGGGAATAAGTTAATGTTATATCCCGATGAGATTATTGAACGTTAACTTTTGGGACCCATTTATGGACCGACACTACACGTATATTTTTATTGTATAATTGTTAAATAACTAAACTATTCATATTTGTGTTCCTCCTATCATAAGCTTTGTTTCGACCTATAAACTATTATTATACGATTTACCATTCTTGAGTTATGCCCTGTTAATCAATTACTATCTCCCTCATTCACAGCCACATTTGGCTAAATCTTGTAAATATGTTATTTTCTATTTTATGGTACGATGTGGTCTGTTTGGTTTTTATATAAACCCAGTATGCTTGAAATAAATGATTCATATCGCAGAGGCTGAGATTGGTGTTATGGACTTAAGAGGCTGGGCTAGGCGGGAAGCAGGACCAATCAGGACTCTAGACTGCTCGTACTTGTGTTATGCATGATTGGTCCGGTCGATAATTCACTGTTCTCTAATTTACGGTATAATTACACTATACATTAATAGGACACAGGACACAAATTATAACAGTTAACAATGGTAAACAGTATAAAAATAGCTTGTAGGTGCATATTTGTAGAATGATCTATGCCCATAGAGAGGAGGAATTGATTAAATCGATATTTCTATCCACCTGAATGTTTACATTAATGATATCAAAACTCAACCATTTAATAGATGTATAAAAAGTGACTGATATTTGCTAAAGCATATGCTGGCGTGAGCTGTATAAGTGCTCAACATAGGTTGCAATATTGATAGGAACATACTACAGATAATACTGACCAATATTTTTAGATCGCCACCTTTATGCGTTTGAATCTTAAATAGATAGTTTAAAGTATTATTGTATAATTTTAGGTTAAGAGGATAACTAATTGTTACTACTACAAACGCAACTCATGCATAATTTCTATGGTATTTACCTCTAACAACTTGCTAGTTAGATTAACTTATGTAGTCAATAGCTTTCTGAGTGCATCAGAATAAGCAGAGGACACAGATCGGATGAAAGTGTATGAAACGATCAAAACTGAAGTTTAAATTATCTACATCGATTCCCAGTTATATTACATAATCTGTTTAAAGTTACTTACAGTTTTTTCAGCTTGGCATCAACATTGTTTATCTTACATATTAAGTACTTTCTTTTTTAAATAAAAAATAACTTTTGTCAGTCAATTATTCGTTACGATAATATTACTGTATAAACTGGTAATTGATGAAGCTCACTAGTAATAAAATTTGAATTGAATTATAAACATATCCCATTCTCATATACATTTAGATTATCAGAAGATTAAAAAATAAATAGCGTCTAATACATATATATATATATATATATATATATATATATATATATATATATATATATATATATAGTGAGTTAATTGACTAACGTGTTCATTAATTTCAAATTTTAATCAACAGTTATAACTGATGACCGTTATGTTATCTTGAAAAAGCAGTTATTTGAATTAAACTATAGAGGTGTGTTCAAGGACATGATAAATAAATAATAGTAATAATAGAACAAGATTACTTACTGTTGCATGATCAGGTGACTGATCTGAACTTTCCGTTGATGTAGCTGATATAGCCGGTAAAAGTTTATGAGAATCAATGGAACAATTCGATTTGATGATATCTGTTGGATTGATATCAACTGAACTAGGTTTACGATGTTGGTCAACAATAAGTTGAGGATCACAACGTGCTTCAACATTGGATATTTTCATTTGCATCAGAAGTGCACGACGTTGTTCAATACTAGCTGTTCGTTGAGTAACATAAGCTGATATATCAGCAGTACTCTTAAAAATTAGATCAAATAAAGTTTTTGTATAAACAAAACTGAAAACTATGATGTATTATGAGAAAAAAAAGCTGAAACTGAGAGTATACTATGTATCAATAAATATAACTCAGATAACAAAGTCTTTATAATGAAAACTCTATGCAAATATATTTACTCATAACTAGTAAAAAGCTGAGGTACCTTTTATTTGGTTTGTGCAAGGACATTCACATACATTTATTACAAATGTTAACGGGAATTGACAAAGTATATGATTTCATCCCCCGAATTCCTATCCTATGTAATTTTCTTTCAAAACAAATTGGTGTTCATTAAGTAGCGGCTAGCGAGTCTCGAATTCCTTTACTATTTACTACCATGAAAACTGTTTGACAGGAGCCATCATACTTTTTAAACTCATTTATTAACTTGATTTGGTACTAAAATATCTTTAATCATTAATCGATAAAAAACCATAAATGGTCCCACAAAAATTGTGTTCACGTTGTCATGTTACTTAGTAATTTGATAGTAGTGTAAGATATTCCTACAATGGTACACATGTTCGGATGTGAAATTGGTTTTATGATGTTTGGTTTGTTAACATGTCACAAAGAAGTTCGATAGATAGTTATCTAACAAAGTTAACAATACAGTTAAGATGCGGAGTAATTAAGCGCGGAATTTTTAAAGATATTTTCTGTTTTAGTGCTAAAAACATAAGGTGTTTACAACAGTATCAACTGGAGATTTAAATTTTAAAACATTAATCACCGGTGAATAGTTTACTTTGTTTTTGAGGAACTTTCTAATGTTTTGAAAATACATAACAGGTGATAAAAAACAAGTGCTCAAGGTGATTTGAATTTCTTATATGTATTGAATGGATTGGAATTCCAGAACTACATTCCAAGCTGTAAAAAATCAGTATAATTCATCTATAACTATTATTACAAAATATCACATAGAAGTTAACTTACCATTGCTACTACTTCCACAGAAGCATTAATTCTCAAATCGTACATGAACTTGGTCATATCCTTCTTCAGATTTACAATATCGTCATCTTCAGTAGCCACCACAAAAATGCGTAAATGGCATTTACGCCATACACGATTACGCATTAACAAATATGATGTTAACAGTAGCAGACCACCATCATGAACAATGCACCAAACATCAACATTTCCAATCATTTGATTTTCTTTGCTCAAAGGAAACGAATCTATTCCTTTAGGCACCAGCATTGCTATATCACATGCTTGTGCAGCTCTCAAAGTCGCTACAAAAATTAGAAAAGATGATGAAATAAGAATAATATTGAAGTAGACAATAGAGATAAACACATTTAAGGGAAATGACAAGACTATCTCAAAATAGACCACATTTCAATAGCTTAAACTTTTGGGGATGAATTTCTGATGTGGTGCAGCTTCTATCATAGTAATGTACTTCAAACTAAATCTGATCTTTCTTGTTTAGTATGATTCCTCATACTCGAGTTAAATAAACTCATTTTATTTTTCCGATATAATTTTCAACAATCTCGATATAATGTATTAAGTATATCACTAAATTTTAAGCTAGGTCATATATAAATAGTATAAATGTACAATGATAATAACATAGAGCAATCGATTACTCGTCACCATATTCATAATTACTAGTATTAGTAAGATGTAGACATCAGATTTAAAACGTTACACTACATTGTAAATTTGATAAAATAGACTAGACAATCAGTTACAATGGATATGTATCGAAAAAGGATAAAAACGTTTTTTTCAGTTTATCTCAACATTCAGAAAGAACAGTTAAAAAATGATGCATACATAATCAATAATTGTTCGATTGGGTGGTTTGTAAAGAATTGATGAATTTAACTAGGAAATTTCCATCATAGATGGACAGAAACTGGAGAAAAATTGAAAATTAGGGGTTATTTGATAGCTACATTGCGCTGATTCGAGAATTCTCAAGAGTGTACATCCAAGATCATGCAAGCGATGTCACTCAGATCATCTGGTGAGCAAGATACAACCATTAATTCAATATTCTATGGTTTACAATGTCACGTGCAGTCAGTTCAGTCAATAACAAGTTTTTCATTTCTATCGGATAAGACACTATTTTTCATAAATGTTGTTGCGCTTATGAGATGTATGAGCATTTTATTCTCTGAATTATAACATAGAACTAGATGTTAATAAATATGAAATAGATACATAGTCAAACTGCAAAACTTACATATAAATTTAGACAATTTACTTCCGCTACTTTTACAATCGACTCGCCAATCTTCAGGATATGACACCATAAGTGTATTGTGACGTAAATTCCCAAGACCAGCACACTGTGCCCTTTGAATGATTAAATTTTAAAAAATAATTCAAAAAGACAGTATATATTTTGTTAGGTTATAGTTAAAGCAAACAGATTAAAATGATTTACTGACAGTGCGGAGCAGCAACAAAATCTGATGAAAATTAAAATAAATGAGATTGGTAGACAAACATATTACATATACATGATCATTTTCACGGTTTTTACTACGTATCAATAATTTAATGGTTGAACTCATGAGTTAATTAACGCTAGACCACCATGGAAAACCTGGAAACACTTGACGGCCATTTCGTCCGAGTATGCGACTCTTCAATTGACTCATGAATTCAACTATTAAACTATTAATAATTTATCAGTCAGATAAGAAAAATTCTTAATGGTTGTTTCGAAGTTACTCAGATAGATATTTTAAATGAAGATTAAATTAAGCAGAATTTTAGCTATAATTGTCAAAGTGTTTCATTTTAAATAATTTAATGTAACTTTTATGTAACGATTGGAGTTTTTTATTGTTGATATCAGGAACTGTATTTAGTTAATTTTATTTTGGAGTGTGTGAATCCTGAGCGGACAGCCTCGATAGAACCTTTATCTGGAAGTCTCAGCGAAATTAGATTATGGCTAAAAGTGGGTTACCAAGTAGGACTTTTCAAATGAGTGTGGTAAGATCTCAGTGTATCTATGTGTGAATCGCAACACTAGGAAACGAATATATCCTACAAAGATCAAAACGTGAGTTTTGAGTTCTGCTGTTAATCACAAACCAATTTTGTCAATATAAGCTTGTCTTAAAAATCTGACATGGAGTTCAGTTTCATTCTTAATTACTGGAATATGAAGTAGATAATTTGTTCCGTGTATCTCAATAAATCAAAACCATCTCAAAATCAATAACTACTAACTCTTCATGAGATCCATCATCGTTTATTTTATTTGTTAAAAAGACTGCGATCTTTAATAAAAAAGAAAACCGATGTCAATACAAAATATTACGAAGAAAACAATTCACATGTATTCTTAAAAAAGATAGGATATTGGAAGAGCATCAACAGATTTCTTTAACTAAAAATTTGTAAGGGTATCGCTGAAGACGGGGATCTAGGTAATGATTTGAGATTACTCATATAGTATGTCTCCTTAAATTTGAATGAAGTTTTCAATGGAATCAATAATTAAGTAGTTCACTAAGTTGGTCGATTTCAGTAATCATTGGTTTGAATGCTGAAATAATATATAAAAATTAGAGTTGATCTGGTTGAAATGAATTAGATAAACGCGCTGGATGGAAGCACCTCCAAGCTAAAATATATTACTAACTTTCCGTGTAATTGATATTGTACTATTTAGCATAATAGAAATTTTCATAAGTAGTCCATTAAAAGTGCAATAATTTCAAGTTCAAAAGTATTTTAAATCTATTGAATTAATTCCTTGATATTAACAGTGAAAGCAATAAATTGTGTCAAGTAGTTAAACATTTTCACTTATTGGTTTTTATATAGTACATAAAGAGATTACTGACAATATAAAGAGTCAATTAGAATTAACTTAAAAAGTTTTAAAATCAGTTGTATAAAATTAATATATATTATCACAGATTGAAATCATGAGTTAGTTGAAGCTAGACCACTATTGAAAACCTGGAAGCACTGGACGGCCGTTTCGTCCCAGTATGGAGCTCCTCAGCAGCGCGCATCCACGATCCCTCACCCCGCGGGGTCCGAACCCAAAACCTACTGGCTTCGCGCACGAGCACTTAACCATTTGACCACTGAGACGGCATTCAACGGTGTTAATTTCTAACCTCAACCAATCCATGAAGTTGCGCCACCATATACCATTGTCTTCAGTGAGCTGATATCTCACAACAGACCTGGTTGAACTCCACTGGTAACGGCTTCCCACTAGAACTCCAGGAGTATCTCTTGAAGTCAGTCACTAGTGAGCAGATGATTATTGTCAAAAGGGGTTTGTGGAGATTTTAGAAATTTTCACAGATTGAAATCATGAGTCAGTTGAAGCTAGACCACCATTGAAAACCTGGAAGCACTGGATGGCCGCTTCGTCCTAGTATGGGACTCCTCAGCAGTGCACATCCAAGATTTCAATCTGTGAAAATTTCTAAAATCTCCACAAACCCCTTCTGAGATTATATATTAATAAAAGTTCAAGAAGGTTTAACATAATACTATCATTTAGTTATATATTTTGTGAAGACAATTGCATAATCTATCTGAATATATGCCTTAGACACATATTGACACTAGATAAATAATTATTTTTTTTAAAAAACACATGAAATCAGGTATTTCAATTTGTTTAAGAACTACTCAATAGTACATAGTGACATGGAATTAAACACGATAATGAAAGTTACCATGATGTTATATATTTTCAAAATAATCCATAATATGAATATTTTCATAAATTTGATCCAACTGAATTGTTTAAAAAATGATACGAACTTTAAAATTGCATGCAACTTAAATCTACAAAGAATTAATATTCAATTTTATTTTATTTTTTAATTTTATTTTGTGAACATATTTCTTATTCAAATAATAACATTTCAGAAAATAACTTATTTTTCATGTCAATCAACTTGTCTTCTATGCATTTTCTGATATCATGATTCTGATAATAAATTTAATCAGGAAATATAGTTATCTGATTTTAATTACAAATAGATTGATTGTGAAGTGTACTGGGAAAAAGATTTCAGATAAAAAGAGATTGAATAACTATTTTTTGTTGTTGTTGTTGCTTATGATTTAAAATAATAATAATAATAATAATAATAATAATAATAATAATAATAATAATAATAATAATAATAAAGCCTATTCATTCTATAAAGAAATGTGGATATCTGATTAGAATTTTATTTGTACTTGATAAAAATGTAAAGAATAACCATAAACTTTAAAGCGAATGTTACGAAGAAAAATGAGTTAATTAAAAAAAAAGAAGAAAAGAATTAATACTCTGTTTATCCTAAAAATTTATGTAATTTATGTTTAAACAGTCAATAGTTTATAAATTAACAGATTGTTGGCTAATTGGAACTAGTAGCACAATGGATAATATGTTGACATTTAAAGCAAATTATGTTAGGTTAGAGGGTCAATAAGAATATCAACACCAAAATGTAAGTATATACAACTATATTAGATTTAACTCCTGACCACAATTCATCTATTCTATAAAAATTAATCATTAGCGTAGAATGATTAAGTAATTTATCGATTGCATTGTATACTGAACAGTTGCTTACATTAATTTGGAGGAAAATAATGATTTCTAGTAATTTGTAACTAGTTAGATACACAACATTGAGTAAACAAATTAAACATATAATGTATATCATCACAATTATTTATTCACACATTTTGGTTTCTACTGGTAATTACTTTGCAGTATTACTAGTGAGATGATAAATTTAGAAAACTGTCACACGAAATGACTGTGAGACTGAAATTTATGGTATACGGCACTTACCAGGCTAATGATTAGCATCTGTTTACATATAGAATGACTTTAAATAAACATATTTCTTCTAACACAACACGTATATGATACATAGGCTTAGTTAATAAAATGATAAGACATTTTTTATTTATTTAATATTCTAATATTTGAGTTTGTCAATGGGCGTTACCCAGTACTCATTACTTGGTTAACTAAAACCAGTACGTTTAACTGAAAATCTATTCCCAACCATCATTTACCCGTTATAAAATTAAGCAAACGCTGGAAATGTTTGATATTAGAAAGTTCTTACTTTTATTAGGTTGTATAGATGCAATTCACAGTTAATAACTAAATAGTCCAAGATAAGCAGAATTTATGATGATTAAAGAGTGACAATGATTGATATTCATTGTTATATACCATCGGAACCATGTTTTATTTACTCCCGAAACTATTCACGTTAATCGACAGTATTAATTAGGCAGATTTAGTTGAATCCATCATTATTATTAAAGTAGAGCTGATAATATATGCATCTGCGTTAGAAAGTTACCTAATTCATTTATTTTCAAACACACATGTCACTTATTGACATTTGTCTTACGACTAATTTTCGTGATTTTGTCAATTACATAAATGAGATATCATATTGTAATTACAACTGGTTCCCATAATAATACTTTACTGTTGTGTTTACGACAAATGTTCAAGTTTCAGAAAAAAAAGAATATAAAAGTATTAGTAGTATGATAATGTTAACTTAAAATATTTTAGGGAATAAAAAAAAATAGTTTGAAAAAATGAGACAAATGAATAAATTAGTGAAAAAGAAAACGTAATAATAATTAGTATTATTTATAAATCTAACTTTCTTCTATTATGTATTGTGTTATTGAATGAATATTATAAAATACTAATTAATGCATGAGTTGTTCAAACTTTTATTCATTTTTATTATAATAGTTTATTCCTCATTTATTATATTATTGTTTATATGAACAAGGGTAAAATATCTAGGCTTTCTATTAATTCACTTTATTATGTCATTATCATCATCATATTTTCGATAATCTTATTTGATATTCATTTTATATATATCAATTATTCTTTATTACTAAATGTTTGTTTTGTTTTTATTATTTATTTCATTCATCTAAATATGTTTTTGTCTATAATCATTTGTTGTATAATTATTGTTATATACATAAATATATATGTCACTTCATGGGTACAAATATTATAATCATTGTATATATGTAACGAAAATTATAAACCTTTTTTTGTCTTCATAATAATAATAATGTTTGTTTTCTTTATCTCAGCATCACTCTGTTAATTTATTCATCATATACAAAAGTTCACTTATATAATTACTAAGTGTTAAACTATATTTGTTCCCTTTATTCTTTCCCTTTATTTATATTCTTAATATGATATCATTTTCATTGTTATGGTATTGTTCTCAAAATATTATAATAATAATCAAATTGAATAAATAAATAAATAAATGAAATAGATTTTATTTATTTTCATTATGAACAAATCATTATTGGTTTAGCATAAAAAGTAATTACAGAATATAATAATTATGAATAATAATTATTATAATGAATAAAATCGTTGAATGATTTAATTCTAAGTGGTTTAGAAAATTCTATTAAGTGTAAAACACTTAAATAATACAAAGAATAATAAGAATCATTTTGTCTATAACTGATATTTGAAAGCAAAAAATAAACAAAAACAAACAAAAACAAAACAAGTTTTGTGTTAGATTATCATAAATTTTGTTCAATTGGAAATGTAGTCAACAAAAAGGTAAACCGAATTAGGTCAAACAATCTTTCTTTCCTTTAGTTTTTCCACTCTCTCTTTCTCTTAAAAGTTCATTTCATACATTATTTTATAAAATTTAAAATTGATTCAACTACTTAGTAATTAGTTAGTTATAGAGATTCATTTTTATGTAGTATTATTACTGATTGAAATATACAATGTAATCAATTCTATTTACAAAACTTAATCAATTCAATTTATATATAGAAATTATTTAGTTTTATATAATATTAATCTCTAGTTACATTTAACAAACTTATTACATCATGAATTCAATATCTAAGAGATAAATTCTAAGTAAATTATTATTGTTATTTAAAACAGGAAAAAAAAAGAATTAACTAAAACCAAAACTCTTCATTAAATTTTAAAAGAAAATTGTGCAAAGAATATTTCTCTTTGGTTTTTTACATATTTTTAAAATTATTTTTTTTCTTTAAAAGTATTACAGTTTAAGTATATCACTTAAAATTAATGGTTAAATCTTATGAATTCATTCTGTAAAAGTTGAGTTTCCTTATTTATTAAAAACTATCAACAAACTATAACCATTCGTTTATTAGTAAAATTGTTTGTTTGTTTTTTTTTTTAAAAAAAAGGAAAAAAAAGAATAAAGTGATTAGAGAAAAATGGCTTTGGTCACTTGCAAAGATTTTTGTGATAATCCAATGAACTAGATAATCAACATTGGTTTATAAGTTAATCTTTATTTAAAGAATAATATCAGTTTATACGTACCTAAAATTTCTAATTATAAGAGATGGCAATTTAGTCAAAATTAGTATGATTAAATCATGTAGAAATATTTATCTTAATAATATACCTGTAAAAATCTACATAAATTGTACAATTAATACTGAAAATCATGAATAATCTTCAAACATGTACTTAGAAATTTTATCAGGACAAAAAGCACGGTCATTTAGTTAGCAGCAAGCAAAGAACCTGTTAGATGTACATTGGTCTAAGCTAGTATGGTGATTCATCACACTAGCTTTGAATTATGAAAATGAACATTCGATTGATTGAAGTGGCAGTGGTATTAGTGGTTAGGCATATATATATAATCCTACAAAAATATATTTGCGGAATAAAAAGTATAAATAAAATTTGGAATTGAGGATCTAGGTTTAGACAGTAAGTGCATCTACGTCATTACTAATGATCCTGAGTCATGTCATCCAAAATCTTCAAATACTGATCACGTTAATCGAGCTGGTTTCAACCAGCTAGTGTGTGACTACATAATCGGTTTAAAATAAAAGTCAATGTCTTCATGAATAAATACTACGGTTTGGTTATATGGTAAATAAGTGAGATTTTGTAATTAATTTCGAATCTAAACACCACTAATTTGCTTTAGGTAACCAAATACTTAGTCATAAGCAATGAATAACACTTAATAAATTTGCAAATTTACAATTATTACAATAGGTAATTTTGAAATAGCTCTCACTATAAACTACTTTCAATCAAATAATTATTTGAAGCAATTAGTCTTTTTGATAGATGTGGACAGTGTAATAAAAAGACGATTATGAGAATTACATGACATATTAGCAAATATATCACATACTATATCATACAGTTCTGATAATCATCTTATTATTATACTAAAGAATTATTACTTAACAGTAGTGATACTGAGTAAAGCATGAAATTTAAAAGCAGTACATTTATAAAATTGGATATAATTGCACACATCTGTCAACAATAATGAAAAGTTATCTTTCATCAATGAAAAGTTAATAGAAGTTACATTCAAGTAAGTGAATCTATTTTTGATCTGATAATCAATAATCCTTGAAAGTTTAAAGTGCATAAAAAAGACAGTTGACAGTTAAATTTGTTAAGAACTAAATAAATTTAATTAGATCACCATTATTATACACACAACATAACTTTGAAAAATGCAACAATAACTAGCACAATAATTTATATGAAGTAAAACTTACATATTTTTCATGCCTTCATCAATAGTAGAAGCGACAAGTACTTCAGCTAAACCTTTAATGCGATGTTGTTGAATAAGATCACTTAAATGGGCTTTAACAGCAATCATATCATTACGTCTATCAATAATATCACCTTCTAAAATCGATGCCACCAATGTTAAACCTGTAAAAGTCACAACAACAGCAGCAACAATGAAATCCTTACTTCTAAGCTTAGAAAATAAGCATAATGACCATAATTAACATGACTACAATTTACAAAAATTTATAGGGAACATACACGTTTTGCTGATTTATTAATTCTATTGTTATTATTATCTTTTATTAAAAATATTTAAATTTAGTCATTTATATCATACTTTATTAAGTCTTCATTTTTGTAGGATAAAGTATTTTGTTTGACTCTTAATGAGTGTAGAATAGGATACATACATGATATAATAATATCAATGGACAAACATATAAACACATGTTTACACAAGATAAACATAGGGGTAGACGCGTAGAACCACAAAAGATAGACAATCTTAACAGAAAAACTAATATACATATATACGTATAAAGCAAGAAGAGAAAAACTAAGAGATGGACACTATCGTTCTTTCTTTGTGATTGAGATCATGGATCGATCAATTTTAGACAACTATTGAAAACATGGAAGTAGTGAACGGTCGCTTTTATCCAGTGTGAGATTCCTTAGCGGAGCGCATCCACGATCCTACACACACGACTCGAACGTAGAGCCTTTGGCCTTGTGCACAAACGCTTAACCTCTAAACCAATGAGCCGGCATTCAACAATGCCAATGCCTAACTTGAGAAGGAAGAGACCAGAAAAGTAATTTTGCAATTTTATGATTTTGGTGAAAAAGAATGAACGCCCATGGTATTGATCAACAATAGGTAGTATATTAATAAAAGTTTTTACAATCAAGAAAGTTATGTCAAATTTTATCTGTATAACAATTTTAGTGGGTGGATAAAAATTATTACTAATTCCATTTAATTAATATTAAATTATGTGGAAAAATTACCGAAATGTAATAGATGAACAACATCATTCCACATATTTTATTCTTGTAAAATAATACTACTCAATTTTCAGAATATGCATCAAACTAACGACCATCAAGAGATAACTATACCATAGATTTAATATTATTGCTTCATAATTCATAACTTAAAATAGTGATAACTGAATATTTTATTTTAGAACAAAATAACTAAGATAGTTTGTCGATTAAATCTTGAATTAATAAAACAAAGGTATATGATAGATTCATTAAACTAGTAGTAAATATTATTGCGTGTTATACAAAATTTATAAGCTTTCTGTTCAAGGTAGTGTACTTAAAACATGATGAAATTTAACAAAATAAATTTACTTAACATTTCAATACGGTATAAAATTTAAATCTCAGATAACTACATACATTAACTACTTACTAACTGGTACTTGTTGTCATATTTCCTAGTCTTTAATGTTGATTAAATTATACATAAAGAGTAAATTTATAATATGCTTACCACGTTAACTAACTTGAATTAGCACTAGTAAATAAAGAACATGATATAGAGATTAGTTCGCTTAATTCAATACTAATAAAGCATAGTTACAGTCTGAATAGTTCTATTGTAAAGTTTTCAACCGTTTTGCATTGAGTTATATATGTTTGAATAATTCAAAAGATAAGGGTTTTTAAATGATTTAGATACATCTAATTAATGAGTATTAACAAGAATGAAATATAAAATCAAGATATGTGGTTGATTTTCTTTAAATATTCAGTGGATTATGTATATATTTATTATGCTTCTTTTATTTTCCACAGATATATTTCTTTTGGTTTTTATTCTCTTCATAGGTTTCTTTATGGCTGATATTTTGTTGATTGTAGCAATCATTACTGTGTTAGTCTTCATTTTTTCGAAAATAACCATCTTTCTTCATTATGAAACAGCCATACAATATTCCCATTAACTTTCAAGTGATTAATTATTAAGAGTTATGATGAAACAATTGAATTTATTAAAAATACACGTTATTTTACAAGTAGAACTGAATATTTATCTAAAATTAGTATTTGTTCATTGTATATTATTGATATTGTAAGATCAATCACTTCAGTTTGCTAATAAACTAACGAAGGTTGAGTATGAACATTCAGAACTGTCTCAAGTTTTCAATAGTTTTTTAGTGTTATGTATCAGTACATAACCGGTGAATTTCAAAGTTATATATTTAGTTCTTCCTTGCAGTCAAATTTAAACTAGTATATGAATAAAGCAACTTAGTGTAAATATTGTACGAAGTTGCAAATTTAGCATTTCAGTAAATGTTATAAAACCTATAAGATATTATTGTACACTGAAAGTAAATGGTCAAGACAAGTAACCTGACAAAATTATTTGTTTTTTATGAAGCTTATAGAATACTCACGATAGTCAGGTGAATAGAAACAACAAAAAAGCAGCTTTGATGATTCAAGTGTCATTATTTAAATCAATGAATTGCAGAATTGAAATCGATTCCAATTCTTTTTAGAATACCCAAACATCATCATCACGCTATATAAAAAATGGGAGGACTACACGTTGAGTTTAGAAACGTATACTTGGTTACTTGGATAAATTAAAAACCAACAAGAACTATAACATCAGTTAAAGTATAAATTGTGTGCGAAGTTTATGAGGATCGTATTAATATGCATCTGTAGATAGCTACCATACCAATAAGAGCACTTTTAAGTATCAAATAATTTTTAACTTTTTCATGACATGAGTGAGCCTTTATGTTTATAAGAATCTTTAATTTATTACCTCATCAGTTTAATCTACTTTGTAATAGAAAACGTTCTTCAAATAGAGAGAATTTCACTGATCTATTTCTATCTCAATACTATTTGTTATGAAAATCAGTTTAATTAAATAAAATTAGTAAATTGGATTTATGTTGGGTGATTAAAGATAATCGACAAAAGACTCTGTACTGAAGTTTCATGCAATTTGTCACTTGTCAGCAAAATATTCTTGTAATCTTGAGGAAACTGATGTTCTGTCTAGTTCATACCAGTGTCATCTACAACTTAACAGTCAGAGATATTACCACTGAGTTGTTCAGGCTGTAACTGACCTCAGGTATGACTTGCATATTTACAAATGATTGATCACTGAGTAGTGACTAATGTAATGTTTCCCGCTAAAGCTCGATCACAACTAAGGGATTGCTTAAACATGATATTGATCACTAATCAGTCAGCAATCAATTGTAAATGAAGTTATGTATTGTAAATAAAACTTCAAAATTATTATAGCATTCCTACATGAATAATAGTCCATGAACAATGAATAGATCTTACAAATAATGAATAAAAAACTCTTTAGAGACCTATTAATTTTGCGATTTCATGCCGAATATATGTTTATACTAATGAGAGTATTGATTGATCAGAAGTAACTAATTAACACATTTATAGTTTTACAAAAATATTTCAAAAGTATCATTCATATTATTAAATTGTTTTCCTCCTAAACGAACATGATAAATTTATAATCCTACAAATAACAAGAAAAAGATTATGATGAAGTGGCAAATGTATAATTAGTAAAAATAATTTCTATGTTCATTAGTGTTATTTAAAGTTTTTCAATAGATTAATAATTTCATAAAGGGGAAAACAAACTAAATTTAATTTTTTCTTAAATTTTGTAGGCTTTTTCTTTAAATACAAACACTTTTTCACATAAGTTACAATTGATTGATCACTGGGTGGTGATCAATGTCTTGCTTGTCTAGTCCTTATTAGTGCAGATCGAATGCTATCGATCATGTTGCAATGTGGCCACCAGTCTAGGTGACTCGACACTGCGGGCACTATGTATTGAGATTTAGATGGTGGTTGGAGGTAGTCAACAGGAAGCCCTGGCCCTGGACCCGAGTTTCGTGCTACTTGGCACTCGTCATCAAGGTGTACCTGTAATCTTGAGGGAACTGGTGCTCCCTGGCGGATTCGATCTCGTGTCACCCAGCTTCACAGTCAGAGACGTTACCACTGAGCTATCCGAGCCGTGACTAACCTCCTGTAGGACTGAAATGTAATTACAATTGATTGATCACTGGGTGGTGATCAATGTCTTGCTTGTCTAGTCCTTTTTCACATAAGTCTTAGATGAAACTAAAGTTGACAAACAAATTTATAATGAATAGAATGTATAAAAATGGTCCAATATAGAAGTTTTATTAGTATCGGTTAAATCAAGTAATCAACAGATATATGTATGATTTAATTTGGATCAGTAAGATGATCTATCAAATGAAAAGGATATAACGGAACTTTTATTCAAATGATTTTCTAGAAAGATTTTAAAATATCAATCTAGATTATATAAATTCAGCTTTAGTAGTATTAATAAAACAATGTTCATTTTTGTTTTCTATCCACTTAAATAAGGAATAAAATAAATTGGTTAAAATTTTAACTGATTGCAAATAATAGATTGTTTAAAAAAAGAATAGAATTCGGTATTACTGTATTGTAATTGTAATGAAAGAATTACATATCTGAAAATAATATTCATGTATTCAATAAAAATAGCAGAATGTTCAATGAATAAATTAAGATTTAGATGAAAAAAAGAAAAGGAAACAAGTACATCTACATCATCTAGCTATTTAGAAGACATGCATTTCAGTGCAGACTTTAAACAATCAGTAAACGGAGTTCATGAGTATACACTTAATGTATAATAATGAATAATAACACAGAATATAATAATCAATGGGTATTACGGAAAGACAATTTATTCTTTATAGCAAAAATATAGTGAGAGATATAAAATTAGTAATTCATTATTATTACTATTATTGAGTAAAACTAATGGAATTGACTTTTCTTTTCAAATAAATAAAAAATTTCCAACAATCAAACAATTTTAATCAACATGACTAAACTCTTACCATGTCCAGCTTTTAATTGATAAACTAAATCCAATAGACGATCATGACGTGCTTGAAAATTTTCATCCAATGGTAAATAAACTAAAATTTGTGGTCGCCAATTTTTTGTATGAATTGGTTTATTACCAAGTTTTAAAATAGCTTGTTTTGCTGTGGACATTTGTAAACCTCTTGTAGCATCACCCCATTCTTTAGAAGCACTAAAATAATAAAAAAATAAGAACAATAGTAACAAAGTTATAAATTTATTTTCATTTCCTATTTAAAAAAGAGATAAATTTAATAAAAATAATGATAATGAAAATGGAGCTCAATGAGAGTATAACTATTGTTATTATTACAATGATTCATGAGTAGAATAAATGTAAAAAAAAGTCAGAAAGTGTGTATTTGTCATTTTATGTAATTAAAACAATAATTAATTTAGATGATGATAATAATATGTAGAAATTCAATGTCTTTTTTGTATAATAAATAGAGGTTACTGTTTTCTATTCCCAGCAATGTTTATTCAAAAGTTAATAATGATAATTTACTGTACAATATGAATAATAGAACAAAGTGAAAGTACGATATAGAGATGAGCTTAAAATAAATGTGAAAATTAAAAAAAAGACTAATTTTTGGTCAATCGGAAAGCAGGTTTTGTAAATGGATAGTTTCCGACTGAGAAAACGTTTATCTTATAAAGTGTAAAAAGGTTTAACAGAATTTGTAAATCTATTAACGTCTTCTACAAGTCTTCCTGCCTGTAAATCTAAAAACATAAAAAAATATTAAGATATCCTTATGGACATAAACTATCCATCATCTCCAAGCGTTATAAGGACTCAAAAATACTTTTAAAAGGCCCCACATTTTATATAGTTAGGGTATGGAGTTGGAGTTTTTTTTTAGCGAATAGATATCAGCTGCAATACTCTATAGTTATATCGATGAATTAACTTCTCAGAAAAGTAGTGTTATGTGGTTAGTGTATCCATAAAATATGAGGCTAACAAGTTGGAGTTCATTTTGAGACTAAGGGTTTAGCATTAGAGTTTAGAGATATTATCAGTCTGCCGGTTATGTACAATGTTAAGTAACATAATTGAGCATTTGATACATTTAACACTATTATTTCTACTCTATGATGGCAAAAAGCGATGTTTCGCTATCATTTTTAATATTTGGAGCAGTAATACAAAGGTTTTTCTACTACTCGTCATACGTAATATTTTAATTCCATGCACACCTAAAAGTCATGTTCTCGATTCTGACTGGTTCATACTTATACCTAGAAGTATATACCATGAATAAAAGGTTATTTTATTTGGTTAAAAACGTCCATTGGATATTATGAATTTTTATTTTATCCTACTCTGATTAAATAATATGAACAATTAGGTTAAGCATGAGATTGATGTTTCATCTTGAGACAGTATGATAAATAATGGTAATTTTCAAAATGATAACTTAGTGAAGTATATATTTTGAGTATAGGCAGAATTTTCATAGTTTAGACCACAAGTCGGTCTTAGTTAAACAACCACTGCAAACCTTAAAACTCTGGACGGCTGTTTCGTACCATTATAAGACTTCGTAGCAGTGATCATTCACGACCTCACACAACTCAGTGACGCATAGGTTAATAGACTTTGTGCATGACCTATAATTCTGGGTTAAATCTATCTATCTAAGAGCCCCAAAATGATATAAAACGGCCTTTCAAAGCCTTCAGGTTTTAAATGGTGATCTAACTGGAAACGATTCATGATTTAAACTTTGAAAACATCAAGTTATTAAAACTATTCATTTTATTTTAAATAGTTGTTTATTAACTTAGAATCAAGTTAGAGCGTTCTGTACAAACTTTCATTCGGTTGCTGAACTCTAACTAGACGATTTATTGAAATTAAGGCATGTAATAATTTCTGTAGCGTGACCTTAGCCATGTTTTTAAGAACTCATTTTATCACCCGTTAACTTATGCGCCTGATAATATGAAATTGCGATGGCGCATATTTCGTAATATGCGTTTAAAATCAATATTTTTTTCACATAGCTTAGTGCAAAAATTGCTTTTATGTTAAGATGATACAAATCGAGTACACAAATTAAGATGATGTGTACTTTTCTTAATAAGAAAATATAACAAACATTCCCAGTGCAGGGTGTTATAAAAAAAAACGTTTCACCGCAAAGTTAGAAGTATGAAGATACAAAAACGTTATTTTATAGATTTGAATATTTTATTATATTCAAAATATAAGTGTTATGTTCGGTACTTGAATAATTCAGAATACGGTATACAACTACGGCACTCGAACGTATAGAACCCCACAGTCGTAAAATTAGACGACAAAAGAAAGTTGGAGAAGTGTCTGTTGGGTAAGAATCAAAATGTACAAAAAATCATGGGTATTTATAGATATTAGCGTTTGTTATAACATCATTATAATTGAGTCAATCCACAAAAATGCAAGTTATGCTACTGTCCAATAGTAGCATGCCACGATATTCTGATTGGATGGAAACTCTTCAGCTCCTTCAGGTCCTTTGAAGGATACGGCGTAGTTTTTGGAAGAAGGTTTAGAAACTTTAAAAGTGACAACTTTAGTAGCTGGGTAAAATAATAGAGTTATGACTGGTGATAATGATGATAACGAAAAACCATTATGGAGCGTGCAATGATAGTGCAAAATAGCTCACCGTAGTTATTGCCTTTGTGGATGTAGGTCGGTTGATTTAGTTATGTGACTGTAGAACATGAAATATATGGTGAAATTAAGTCACAGTAAGTAACTCTGTCGAAGGTATAAGGTTTCGCTTTTTTATCCTTGAAAAATTCAAAACTGGTACCAAAATGCCTAAAACATGATGTTATGTGCATTTTTTTCACTATTTACTAGAAAATAAAGAGTTATGGAGTTTCATTTGAAAAATACTTATAATTACAAGCTTACGTTTTCACACCTCCACCTCACGAAAATTACTTGCACTGGAAAACTAACCTATGATAGACGATTTTTGATTTGATAACGCTCAAAAGAATAAAATTTCCTAACTGGTACATCCCATGTTGATAGTTTAATCTAGACTATCGTATCAACCTAGAATGATAGGCCAACAGTAAGAAAACGTTTGTACCGGAATTAGCAAAGAAGTTCTCATAATTTGAATTAAGGTATAACAGTGTGGACAATTCGTGAGAATTCATGTGTGATTTATTTTTTCCGACCTAATTGATAAATTTTCAATAATTCTAGCTACCAATTTAATGAACATATTCAGTTGGATGATTAAAAATCTACCATAAAAATTCAGATATAAGAAGAAAATCTTCATATGTATGGATTAGTCAAAAATAGTTAACTGAAACTATCCTTCAATACAATTATGGATTTTCGAAAGTTTCCTAACAAAATGAGGTTATCAGTTCAAGTATCATATGAATGTATTGAAATAACTGATTGATAAAATTTGGCTAATCTCATTATTATTAAGGGTTGGATTAATAAATGTATACATTCATTTTATCTTTCAAAATAGCATATTTCTTTTAGTCGAAGTTATTCATACATCAGACGATTATATATATTTAGCATAATTTTACATAATGGTCAGTAGAAAAATACATACTTTAAGGAAATCAATAAAAAAATCTGTACTAAAGATGAACGATAATATAAGTAATACATCAGAATCACTAAAGTTCAAATAAATACCACATAATAAAATTGCACGTAATTTTGACTTGACAAGTAATGAAAATTCTGAAAAACCAATTCATAAGATGAAGTTCAGAAATAGCTACAAAGTCAATTGATTTTTTATTACCAAATGAATAATCTTTTAATACTTAACAGTGACTAGAAATATAAATTGGTGATATGTTTTTGTAAAAAGCAAAACAAAATAATTGTCTATCTAACAAATTATCTGAAAACAAATAAGTAGATACTTGTTGTAAAGTATTCATGAACACTTTTTTTGACAAGATGGCTTGCTTGAATATCTAGGTTACCTGTTACTGGCACCTAGATGTCTCAACAAGTTGTCTGCTTTTTTTGTTTTAACACATCACTACGTCGATTAATCGCATAACCTATTCAGGTGCTTCTATGAAACATATACATTTCACTGTGCTAGTTACAAAAACGTACAGTCAAAGACATCGTGGTTGCTGGCAATATACATTGAAAACAATGAGTACTATTCAGATATCGACTTCTGAAATGCTGACATCTAACTCGTGACCACTCAATATTAATTTTCAATATCGATCAAAAAAATAAGAAACGGAAACTCGCTGAAACACTTAGCAAATATGAGATAATTTCAAGCATAAGACCAGTCTAGCTGTGAGTAAACTCAGTTAAGTTTATGATCAAATGATTGATTTATCTATAAACTATTCGAAATGATCAAATATTAAGAGATTTCTGCTGATGTACCTGATCAATCTTCAACTACTTATTTCATTCAGTAGTCGAATTCAATTTCGTTAATTTTACAAAAAATTACCTAAATTATTCAGTGGATCCTAATGGTGCTGGTCTTCTTTCTAGAAAGGTTAGTCTTACACATCTTGTGTTTGTTCACATTTATCTTACAAATTTCAGTTCAATTTCAGTCTATCATTTTTAAAACCATATTGCTTTTTTTAGATTATAATCATTTCCAGTTCATGAATACTAATCAAATGAAAGATTCAGGGTTCAGTGGAGACATATTTTCATTGGTATGCAGCTATATCCAATGATATTAGGAATTTAACAAACGGTATATCTCTGACTCAATCATTAGCAAATATATTTAAACTACTTAACAAGTTCAACTTAGAGAAATTAAAATTGAAGTTCAACAACTACAGTTATCGCTAAATCTACAAATAACAATTACCAAATCGATCCCTAAACAAAACAAAATAAATTTCGTATGGAAATAGATGAAATAAACTTTATCTGTAATTACTTTCTGCTTTATAATTTATTATTTGAAGAGACAGATTAACCAAGTAATAATAATAATAGTGGCAGCGTCGATACCATTTAGAAGATTATACTGAGACTGAGAAATAAATGCTTAAAACGAGGAGAAAAATGAAAGAGTAAATTGACAAAGAAACAGTAAGTAATCAATCAGTTATCAACAGCGATTAGTGGAATGACAGTAATATTAATGAGTAGTAATTATAATCAAAGATGAATGATGGCTAGCAGTGGGTTTCAGGACGCGCGTTTCATCCCACCTGGGACTCGTCAGTTAGATTTACCTGCATCCCAGAATTGATGTTCACTCTGAGACTCAAACCTAGTACCAGTCACTTCAAATGCTATCAGGTTATTCACTTAGCTAGTGAGTCTTGGTAGCCGACTGCTTGTGCAATGGAGTGAAGTTTAAGTCCAGCCGACGAGTCTTAAACAGGACGAAAAGCGCGTCCTGGGTTCCACTGCTAGCCACCATCCATCCTTAGTTATAAAGCTTGTGACTTAAGGCAATATCGAGGCAGTCCGCATATACGCCAATAAAAGACTGATCAATTTCAGTCCTTACCAACAATAGGAAATTACAAGCAAGCGATATCGAGTAAATTTAAAAATTATAATGATTTAAAATTCATTTTTAAACGTTGCTTAAATTTTCTCATTGATTATGTCGACTATCAGCCACCATCTAACTGTGCTTATCGACAAATAGATTATTGATAATGCAGTTGGCATATTTAGTTTACCATTTGTCACATTTATTCTGATCTTTTGAATTATATGAAAGAACACAGTTTTTCATATTGACTTTAATAAGTAATGCATGTAATACTCAGTGATGAACAGATAAAGATAATAAATTCCTGTGCCAGTCATTGAGGTATATTTGTTTTTTTATAAGTAATTATAGAAATTATAAATCTGTATCAAAGTTAGCAAAATAATTATATGACCTTGACGCAACTCAAAAGCTCGTCGCATCAATGTAAAAATGAACTCTCTGGAGAAATGAAACAGATAAGTTACAGTCATTACTATTAGCCATGATGATGGTAGTATTACTAGAAGTAAATAAGTTTGAAATTATGTGTTTGAACACAAAAGAATAATGAGATTGACTGATTCATACATACATATAGCACCCTTGGTTATTTGGTTATTCTGTTCAGAAATTTCGTACTAAATGAACAACCATAAATGACTTTAAGATTTGGAAAAGTTTAGAATAAATAATAAAACAAGTTTGTTCAATTAGATTGGGGAAGAATGTGAGTTAGTCAGAACTTAAAGTCTTTTTAAAATCTTTAAAAACCTTTTTAAGATACTGATTGTCTACAACGCATGACTTGAACACATTTTACTTTTCATTAGGATTTGGAAGACCTTGTTAAAATTCGGCTGAATATATTGCATTTTGTTAAAGTATACATTTTGAAAGTGTAAAAAAGTGAACTGTTTGTAAGTTTTAATTTAAAAAAAAACATCGGATAATAATGATGTGTTATGACTACAATAATATCAGGCAAAAACCTCAGATCTCTGACTATAATTAATTCCAAGTAAGAACGGAAGAGATGTAAATATTCAGAATAAATGATTAATTCATTCAACAACAGTATTTAATCAGTTCTTTTATTGTACTTCGAGTATAAAAAATGTTTATTGAAATTTCAAAGGTTAAATTCAATTTTATTGCGAAAATCGATCTTATAGTATTGGAGAAAATTTGCACTGCCCTAAAAATTACATGATTCTTTATAGTTCCGATGGAGTGCCCATCAGTAGTAATTTTCAGCTGGTAATATTATCGTAAATAAAATCTTCATTGTTACAATATATCAATAACCAGAGCTCAAGTAAAACATGAACTATTAAAAATATATTATTTATACTATTTAATGAAAATAATTAGACCTAGTTTATTTATATTCTAAGGACAAATAACTAGGAGCAGATATCGATTTCTAATTAACTTACAGTTGATTATTAATATAACAAAAAAGAATATGGTTTGCATTTTGGTCAGTTTTATATTCAAAAATCGATCTGAGCTGTGTAAATTCTTCCCGTGAAAGTCGAAGTATTTCTAACTTGTAGTAGCGTTTAACGGATATGTGGATAAATATCGCATAATAATATGCTTTTTCCCTGTGATGTTTCTAATCGTTAACGTTCTCAACGTAATATCTGTCCAGGGAAGCAGTTGTGCAACATATATACATTCAGTATTCCTATTGAGGGATATTTACTACCTATGATATAATTTCGATCAAAAAAACACACGATTATCAGATAATTTCAGTGAACGCAAGCGTATCTGCAATCTTTCTGACCAACAAACATTTACTCCATAGATACCCAATTAATGTCGAAGTATGACCACCAAATGTAAACGATATAATATTGAACTTCCATATTCATTATGACAATTAAAAATATCATTTAAAGTTTTCCACAGAACATATAATTCATACTTTTGAAAGGATTCAAATGAACAGAAATTAATGTGTTTTCCTCAACACTGAACGTAATAAGTAACTTTGAAGATAATCATCAGAAACACGTTTAATATAAAGTTAGTTTGAACTTGTTGTAATTTAAATTTTATGAAATTTTTAGAATAATGGTTACGGAATTCAATTTTTACATGTCACCAAACTCGACTATTAATTGAGATCGGTATTCCACGGAAGAAAACCAATTTCGAATTGGTGGCAAAAAGTCTAAACTGAACAAACACAACTTATCTAGGTTTATCTAGGCATAAAAACCAATACAGAAAGCTACAAACACGCAAATGTACAAGACTACAGAGCATATAAATAAGAAACTAAGAAGAAATCAAAATGTAATAAATAAAATTTCCTCTTAAAACACGAGGATTGATCGATACATAGATAAATTACAACTTACAATAGTGGAATAAAGACGAAAATAAATGAAAAATATACATTCATGCATGTATGCATGATATAGTATAAGAATGTTAGTATAAGAACTAAGAGAAGAAACAATAACCATTGCGGTATTCAATCAAGTGGAAATAAGTCGTACTGATGACGAAATACTTTAAATAATAGGTTTTCATAAAGAAGATAGATAGAATTAAAGCTTTAAATACAACCAAAAAAGATCTTTCAGTGTTATGACATGTAACAGCCTACAGGTTAAAGTGATATTCACAGATAATTGTTATACAGTAACAAAGACAAGTATTTTTGATGATTGCTAAAAATAAAATTTTAATTTAAATATGAAACATGTTTTAAACTTGTTGGATTCAGAAGTATGCAATAACTAGTTACTGGTTACATATTAGACTTCAAACTATAGAAATTTTCATAACTGGAAGATTGAAAAATTAAATAATATTAGCATTGTAACTGAAATAAATACTAGGAGTGACTGTCACCCATTGAAGACGTATTTAAAACATACATAATATAAAGGTGAGCATACCATAAGGTTATGTGTACATGGTTTTTGTGGTATAGTAATAATGATCATTATTACATCCAAAGCTGTGAAAAATTATAATAAGAAATTCAAAGTTGTGTAGTGAGTAGTTTGTAGACTAGTTATTAAAATTTCACGTTTTTCTATCGAGTAATTTACATATTAGATAGATTTATCTATGGATTTAACTTCATCATACAAATCGAAATTTTTAAAGAATAATAGTAAACTACATAATTACTGATGTAAACATGAAAAACTATTTTATTCATATTAGTTTACCTTAATAAAAGTAATACAGTTCATTTACATGTAATTTACCCGTAGATACAAGCACGTGGAATAACTAAGAAAACACCAAAGACAATGAGTACAGATGTTACATTAATTCAATGTTTTCACCTATAGTCATAGAATAACCGAATGTTCAAACTTTATAGGCAAAACTCTGAACTAGTGAAAAATGAATTGATTGAAAATAATTTAATCAATAAATCACAATGAATATAAAATACTGCTAAAACGATTATAATATATTGGAAATGATTAAAATAATTTTATTTCAATAAAGGAAATGAACTTACCCTCTAAATTCAATATATTTGTAAATAGCAAACGCTAACGCCCAAGCGACAATAGTGTAATACCAACTAGAGATAAACATTAGGGCAATGCATAAACATAATCCCACAAATGAGAGGAACCTTGAGAAGAATATGTGAAAAACAGAACAATATTAATAGAAAAAAAACACAGTATATATTAGGTTGGATAATAAAACACATGTATCAGAAATTAGTTAAATAAAAAAATCGATTGATAGTTCTAATACGATTGAATAACATGAAGTAAGTGAATTGAAGTATTATGGTGAAATTAATTGGCTTCTTAACTCCAACAGAAGAACATCATGAATAAACTGAAAGGTTTATACGTCCATCTAAGGATGTTCTGTGTTTCAACATTATAGACCAAAATAGCAAATGAAACTGGAAATAAAAAATTCAAATTGTAGGATCACTTTATCGTTCTTTATTTATCCAATTATAACGTCTATTTTTAACCTCAATGAACTTGTTAGCATATACAAAGACAGGAAGCAGATTTGACGTAAAATCTGCTCTCAGTATAGTGTCATTTACTCATAGAACGTTTTTCATTCAATATAATCAATTAGTTACTGTTTTATTCTTGCTAACAGTTCTTTACCTAAACATAGAATACGTTTTAAACTTATGGAGAGTAACTACTCAGTCGGGGTATTTGAAATTTCGTTAATTTTATTATTTTTGTTATAAATCGTTCCAAGTAGATACCTATATCCTTCAATATATTAGAGGAAACTAACCAATTATAACTTAGCTATAAACTTCAGTCACATGTTCACATGTACTGGAAAATCATTTTTGTAATGCAACCATAAAATACGTCAAGTTTTATTGATTGAATATTTAGAAGACTTAATAAATGATGGAGTATATGTACATATATAAATATACATGGAGAGAATTCTGACAATGCAGAAATATAAGGAAAAAATGTAAAGTGAACACAATCAAATAAAGTGGAAATAAACCAACACGGAGAATTATTAAAAAACGGTTGATTAATTAACTTCGACGAAATGATAAGTGCATTCATCTGTGTAAACATTATAAATGATGGATTTTAAGGGATGTAGCTCAGTGACCGCAACTATTAACTTCCGTTATCCTCATGACACATTTAACCAATCAAATTGGGTTAGTGATAAATAATAACCAACATGTTTCCTGAATTCTTCTGGTCTTCAAATATATATATATATATATATATATATATATATATATATATATATATATATGACATATTTCCTGCTTTTTTCCTTTTCGTCAAAATAACTATGGACATGATTTATATTATAGCGCATAAAAGAAGTAAAATAGATATGCATAACCGATTATGACATTTGTACATTCATATAGTCAAAAATAAATTTTAAACTAACAATTCCAACCTAAATACGGATATATGCCATAACCATAAAGTCTATGCCGAAAATGGCTAACATACTCTCACACATACACCAATATATTACCTATTTAAAGTTGATGATAACGTGTAAAGTAAAAGTAAGAAAGAAAAAACACAAAATAATAGAATCAATAGTAATAATTTATCTGAATACTTAAACATATTTATTTCAAAAATAGAAATATATATAACAGGCTAAAAAATTTTGAAAGGTTATATGTACAAATATCATATTTTAATTCTAAAATCGATGATATAATTATGTACTTTCTGAATAATCCAATAATATAAGGGAAAAATGAATTAAATTAAAATATCACACTGTTTATAGTGGGTTTTTGAATATCCTCGTCGTTGATGTTGAGGAGTGCAATTAATCAGTCTTTTTTGGTATTTAGCGTCTCAACCCCGCTAACTAGAGGGAGAAGTCCAAGCTTGGAATGGGTAAGTACATTCTGAAAACAGCCAGAAACGAGCGATAATAACAAACACAATTCAAAACGTATATATACAGTACAAAACCGTCCTTGGGGAGAGTTATCAAATAGCATACTAAAAGACGCAACAGACCAATAGCATTTAAGATATTTCTCAGTGGGAAATACGACATGAAGGTGACAAGAGTGCCTTTGGCGCGAAAACAAAGAAATTCGAATTTTCTAAATAAAATTACAAAATTAGGTCCTTTGCCAAGTGAGTTCTGAGGATCTACCGTCGCCAGCACCAGCATTGCAATACAGAGCGCACATATCTTCTTGTTTTGGACTCGTTAATCGAATATATCGGGATCCTAGAATTAATTTCCACTCCTGGACTCGAACCCAAAACCGTTCGCTTCAAACACTTAACGCTTTATCCACTTAGCTACTGGGTTCAAGCTCCATAATGGATGTCAACTTTGGGACACAAGCACTTCCGGTTGATGAATCCTAAATAGGGATAAACGTGTGTCTTTCGTTCCACTGCTAGCCATCATCCAACTCTTTAAAATGTTACGTAATTTAGAAAACTTCATTTTATAGTGATAGATAAACTATCGAGCGAAAATACGTAAAATAATTAAATTGTTAGGTATTTAATCAAAGAATAATCAATACTCCGAGAATATGTTCAGTTAGTCGCAACAAAAAGTTTTCAATAAATTACGGAAGTCTTCAATACTGAAAATTAAATCCAGTTTAATAAACCACTCAGTGACCATTCAGTCAAGAGAATTAATAAAATTATGATGGATATCTTTATGTTATCAAAGATTAAATTGGTTGACAAGGAAGGAAAATGCGTGCTTACAACATTGAATCAAAGTATTCTTATGGTTTGAATAATCAAACTTCAGCAAAGCATGCGTAACATGTTTTCTCTATTTTTCTCAACATACCAGCCGATTACATCATAGAATTATCACTTTAAAACCGTCCACATTGCTCAAATATTAGGTATAAGGTTTCGATGTATCTAAGTTGTTAACAGAGTATTTATCCGTGGGAAAAACATTATACTATTATACAGTTGTAGGCCAGGTATCTGGAGATCACTGATTACTAATCCTATTGAATACAATGAAAGGCAATGTGAATGAACTGTACAGTACGATTTAATATTCACGTAGTCTACTAAGTTATATCATCCCCATAACTACTGATTCAACAAATTAACTCTTGTGGGTCAATACGTACACATACGTGAACCATGAATGTTTGTTTTTCATGCGTCAGAAACATAGAATTCGGATTCAGCATTATACTTTAAAGATTTATCTACCAAGTGTACAATTTAGATTCCATTCTAAACTAAGTAATTACTGTATAACTAATAAATTCCATCAAAATAGAATAGTTTCTAATAACCGTTCTCAATTATAAACAATCTGTGTAAAATGAACCCTTTTAACTTAATGAAATAATTTCAAAAGAGGTTTAGTATAAAAATAACATAATATTATGATCAACACGTAGTACACATCGTATAAATTTTAGTCCATTGGATTATTAAATTAACCCTTTATAATTTATAAATGATTCAGCTTCACATATAGAATAGTACTTTTAAATTACTTTCTTTTCATAAATTTTCTACATTTAGTTTTGCATATATACGTAACAAAAACAAACGTATATATATATGACAAAACGGAATAATTATATACATTTATAAAAGACTAGTTGAATAGTAATTAGATTTTATTTTATGCACGCATATATTTGCATGTAGACATATATAAAGCTAATTAAGACAAACGATAAAAAAAACGTAAACATATTCTTTATAAAACTATGAATAATAAAAAGGCCAAGGTAAAATAGTTGTCACAGCGTACTTACCAGGAAAAAACAAACTACTATGATTTTCTTTGTATAAGATCTTAATAGTAAGATAATCATCAATTTAGATGGCATATTGTTAATGGAGTAATTCTAAATAAGTCCAAGTGGAAAGGAGTGCACACAAGAGATGGATGACTTAGCTACACTAGCTTCATATTTTATAAAATAGAAATAGTTAACTCGTTGTAACTTCTGACTACCGATTATTGCTATAATTATATTTTGATTCAACCATAACTTTCGATGTCTCATCCATGACGTTAAATTTGAAACAGCGAAATCATAATATATCGACAAACAAATCGGATTTAAGATAGCGAGTTTTAAATTTTGGCGTGAAATGTATTCATTCATATAGTTAAATAGTATTTCGGTATCATAGCTGATGTCAGCTTGTGATGAAAACTCTTACTGGCGGCCTGCTTGAATATCTGGGCTACCTGTTCCTCCGATCTACATATTTCATCAAGTTATCTGTTTTGTTGTTTGTTTTAGTTCATCATTATGTTTATTAAGCACACAACCTATTCAGGCGCGTTTATGAAAAGTTTACAACCTTTCGCTATACGTGATACAAAAAGGTGCAATCATCGACATCATGATGGCTGGCAATATGCATTGAAACGAACGAACATTAATCAAATGTGGATTACCGAACTCCTAACATCTAACCGGTCATCATTCAAAATTTATCGTCACAATAGATCAAGGTATAAGAAAAGGAAACTTGTTGAAATACTTTATGCTGAGAATTCTATGTTGTACCAAAAATATAATGTTGAATAAAGCTTCTAATAATATAAATATAAATATAATATAAATATACTTTGATTCCTAACCCTAAATCCTATCTGTTCATTCTAATCCTACTTACACTAATTTATAATCTATTTTTGACTCTAAAAGTTAGGAGAATCTTCTTAAAGTCTCTTTGGCGTCGTTCTAAGGTCGTTTGTAAATTATAATCTCACCTTCAAAACATATTTTGCCTTGTAATTAGTGCCCTACACTGGATATAATAAGTAAGATACACTAAGCGATAAATAGTAGTTTTGTTTGCATTGACGAGAATATGGATCTAAGCACAATAGTAAATAATTTAAAAATTTAGATATCTGTTTCAAAATAATCAATGATTATCTATAATGTATCAAAGTCACATGGTAAATTTTATTAGATAAGAGATGTACTAAGTACTTCAGAGGTAACTATTAGAAGTAACATCTTGTAATAATATAATGTTTTATACGAGTTTCCAACAAGCGTTTTATCAGTCCTTTTTACTTTAGTGATACGTATCAGGAAATTAATCACAAGAAACATAACACCGGAAATCCTACGTTTTCTAATTCGCACTAATATCCTCG